CCCCGTCTTTCCCCCCCCCCCCCTCCACGGGGTTCACCCTGACTACCAGAAACTCACCCCAATTTTCACTTTCTCCCTTTCTCTCTATCTACCTCACGCTTCTTCCTTCTCTCTCTCTCTCTCTCTCTCTCTCTCTCTCTCTCTCTCTCTCTCTCTCTCTGTACTCACTACTATTCGTTCGACACCCTCACTCGATTTCGTTACACCCTCTAATTTGCTCCTACCGACCTTGCAACCCCCTCCTGTCCTCTCCCTCACTTGTCCGTTGTCTCTCTCTTAATCCCCCACTGATTCCTAGCCGAAAAATCGTCGATCTTTAATTGAAAATTTTTCAAATTTTTTTTCAAATTTTTCCAGCAACCTTTTAACCTATCCGGGTATCGCGTGTTTGGCGCATCGAATAATATTGAAAATATATATCAGATTCTGTGGAAGCAAGATCGCTCGTCCATTCGCAGTAATCCAAAGCGTAACAATGCACATTAGCCAGACGGTAATAATTAGCGCTTTTTACGAGAGTGTCTCGAGGCATGCCCGCACTTTCGTGCAACGACCCCGCAAAGATAAAGATTTCAATTCCAAGAATGAAAATTGTCGATCAATTTAACAATTGACCTGAAATTCCGCGATAATAAAGCACAATCTACAGCCCACATGGAACGGTGGATCGGTGTTTTTAGTTTATTGTATTACATTGCTGCCTTCAGACTTACTCACGGTCCGGGACGGATTTTCTATCCAACGGGTGTTGCCAAGTCGTCATTGAGTCACGTGAAATATAGTACGACTTGAATTTCGCGAAAATCATTTATCAAGACCATCGCCCAATCATCAACCGCCAACAATCATGCCTTAAAATCCCCCTTGAATTTTGCAATTGAAATCTTCAAAACGATCGCCACATTTTTTTTCCCCGGTCACCCTGTACTTTAGGTTTCCGGACTGATGAGTAAGATCGCGTGTGCAGAAAGGGCCCCAGGAGTAATTAAGTTCTCGTCGGTCGGTAGTAAGGCAAGACGGCTTTATTCCTCGTGTCATTATTTGCGCATTGGTGCACTGTTATGACCCAAGGCGCGTTTCTCTGACTGCCGTGAATATTCACGAGGCCATTTTGCTCCGCTCTTGGATTTACCGTCCGGCCTACCGTGGAAAAGTGCTCGCCAATAAACGTACCCGATCGTGGAATCTACACCGGTGATATATTGTCCCTACATAGGTACGTATTCCGTACAGCAACGCCCGATCATATATCATTTTGAATAATGAAAACCGTATAACAAGAATCGCGAAATTCACAGTTTGCAAAGTGCCAATGGTGAATTTTATCATCTGTTCGCAACGTTTATGATATATAATGGACTTTTTTTTTCAATCGACGCAACCTCGCCTTTGTCACTGTGCGAGCATAGTATACGCCATACGTGCGACTGTACGGGAGACGCAGGAAGCGTGTCTCGCGCCCCATTGCATCCTGGGAACACGAAGAGACTTGGAAGAAACTGGAATAAGAGAAACGAACGCTTCGAGAAGAAGAAACCGTTTTCATTGGCACGTCGGCACTTTGTGCACACACAATCGCAAGATCATGCGCACTGTTTGCTTGTACTACTTTTTTTTACTTCTCTCTATCTCCCTGTCCACTGTCTCTCTCTCTCTCTCTCTCTCTCTCTCTCTCTCTCTCTCTCTCTCTCTCTCTCTCTCTCTCTCTCTCTCTCTCTCTCCGCTTCTTTTCATCAGCCGCGCACGAAGTAGCCACCGTAGAAAAACTGTAAATTGATGCGGATGGCTGCTGAGCGAAACGAGACTTCAACGTGCTGCACTTGGCCAATGTTCGATAAGTATAATACGAATTGATGAATTTAAAGATTGACAATTAAGTTATATAGAAATAATAATTAATCGTACATTCTAGAGTCGTTATCAGATCGAACAATAATTCACGATTCGTCTCTGAAATATAAAACCCAATTGGAAATAATTTCCTTAGACTTGCATGCATGCGGGCAGTTATGTGCAACCATGGGTCAATATTTTTTCAATCCATATTTCTACACGGCATGATCATGGGAGTACGTATGTGTAATTGTCTATGGCAAATTCGCAGAAGGCCTTCGGTACAGAGAGTATAGTTGGGACAAAGAAGTTGTACCACAGTAAACGTAATCAATCATATAAGGGCTTTAACGCGATATACGACTTCCCTGAAAATCTATTATTTGTCCTACGGACGATCTTAATAAGGCAAAAAACTAGCGGGAGTCATCAGCACAGCTGCATCTGCCCCCTCGGCCTGCCTCGGGTTATTGAATTAGACGAGACAAACCGAGTGAATAATGGCGTAATGTTTTACTGAGAAGACTACAAAGTCTCGAACGGTCCTTAAACACAGACATCAGCCTCTATTACAGTGGTATAGAAAAAAAATTGCAGTAGATGCTACTGCACTAGTATGTAAATTGCATACGATGCATATCACGAGGAAAAATCTTCTTTGACCTTGATATAGCTTATCAAACTTTTTTTTTCTAAATTTTCATTGCCACAGGAATTTTCTCCGTCACCTGTACTCACGAGTACGAGTAGATTTGTTAGGTGTCATTTGCCAGTGCGGACGGACTCGAGGATCCCTGCCGTTTGCTCGTTTCGTGCCGTTGAAACGAGGTATGAAGAGTGAGAGGGAGAGAGAGAGAGAGAGAGAGAGAGAATGAGAATACAGTGAGTTAAGTGAGATGACCGTAGAGAGCGAAAGAGAGAGAGAGTATAAGTACACCCTGGTGACCAGGGGTAACGATGTTCAAATCTCTCCCGAAATATTGTGATAGCATTGCGTGTTGTTTACAGGATGTTGTAGCTGGGCATTCTGCTATTGACAGCTTCACGCTGTCATGCATCTCGAAATGAGTTATCTCGACGAGAGATGGAAGAGCAAGAGAAAAAAAAGGAGGGAAGCTTACATTAACAATTTTAGATACTAGAGTATTTTCTGTATAATAAAAATTACTTACTTTGTAATCAGTCTGACGTCATCAGATGTATAGATGATTCGGTCCAGTCTATATAAAATAACTTCAGGAATCCAAAAATCACGCGCACTCAACGTTCACTTCACTCGTCACTATCACTATTTTTTTACGTAACCGACACTGCATCTGATAACAATTAATAATATTTTTATCAATTTTTACTAGCCTAATCGGAAAGTACTTGCACTACCGGCGTATGAATTAACACTGGGAGTCGTTCCGTGTTTTGGGTCGTTTGACCTCAAGGTACCTGAAAATAAAAATTGAGAGGGGATTTAGGATGTATAGATTACATTATGAATTAAACAAAGTTCGATGTAAATACACGGTAGATTGACTAGAATGACTTACAAGGTATTCGGTATATCCAAATAATAGAGATAAACAGGTTTCATTCGCGCGATAAATTTAACGCTAGGATTTTCATATTTCACTTAAATTTCCACTCGAAGCGTTGAACATCACGGAAAGGTTGGATATTCATGGTGGATTCATAGGACCGGATGACACTGGACGAAATTTACATCCGGTACTAGACCACGCGCGATGGCTCTTGCCGCTCGAAATTATTTAGTAGTAATTACTATACTGACGCCTAATGACGTAAATACGAATCTCGCGCTGGCTATAACTTACGGCATTCAACGGGCTGTCGCGTCCCGGATGAGAATGGCTGTAGTACAGGACGATGCAAAATTACATAAAATAAAAAGAAGAAAGCGCCAGAATAACATTTCCTGGTGGTACGTGAAATTTCAGTGGTTCCCGTTTCTATCAATTAACAGGTCAGCCAGTCATTATCGGAAACAGCCACGTGATGAAATAATGTCGGGATTGTCGGACGGATCCGTCAGCGACCGCCATTATAACGTATGACGTATAACGTATAAGCGAGCAATGATAACATCAGCACTTATAATGCAAATTAGCTGGTGACACTCAACTCGGTAACGGAGTAATGTAATGCGCGAATAAATAGCAACAACTGCTCCGCTTCCCTGTCAAATGCGCCCTGAACTCTCATAAACCATTGCTGGGTTGTACGGCCTGGGCGTGGGCGTGAGTTGTAGGTATGCTTTTGATGGAAATATTGACTATTACGTAACCGGGAATGTGTATCATTGAATAGCTACCATAAATATCGTGAAATTCTGCCCGACGCACTTCATACTTTTGATTTATCAAACCGGACAGACTGCGAATATCCCGTATTGCTTTTGACAGATCAGAGCCAAGTACGAGTTTGATCAGTGACAGACGTGCCATTGGACTGATGATTTCAATAGGAGAATAATACACCGAGAGGGTATTGAATGTACATAAACTTTTTTGAAATATAAAAAAAGTTCTGTCAAAATATCAATGCGATTTTCTTATCAGTTTTAATTCAATGAACGCGGTAAGATCTTGACAAATTAATCTGTTTCCAATTAGTCGAAATTCTAAAGTCCCCTTTTTAAATCGCATTTAATACCGTGAATGAAGGGGACGTTAACGTTAACACCTAGAGATCGCGCGGGCCATGCGTCCGCGCCTGCGAATAGGTATACATACGCCGTACTGGAAAAAGCGTTCGGATATCCCGGAACTGTTGAGTCGAGAGCATTACTAATTCAACGCCGGCATAAATGATACGTTCAATCCTGTGCCTGAATTAATAAACACAAAAAAAGCCCCGGCTTGCCACCACCCGCCATCCTGACTAATGACGTATTTACCGCTTCGAGTCAAGTCAAGTCGAGTCGCGTATATACCGGTTCATTAAAATTTACTTTATAAGCCGTGAGCGTTGACGCATTCACCGCGGACATAATGAAGCAATGTTTCAATGGAGGTATCACACCCAACCCCACCACCATCGCCATCTTCGTCCCTAGGAAGCTTCTCCATTTCCATCCCCCGTTAAACCCCTTGTCAGTCTCTTTTTGTTTTTCAACCACCCAACCCCCATCTCAATAACAGCTGATTGCACTTAACCGTGGATGCAGAAGAAGAGACTGGATCGACGTCTCGATATAATTACAAGGTATATACCTATAGCGTAGGTGTATGCAGTCTTTGTGATTGGTTGATTTTATTTTTTAGTGGTATCCTATTTTTATTTAAGGTATGGGGCGTCGCGACGCTGAAGGATTACGTCGATCGTACATTGGCTTTTGGTTCTCCCCGTCGTATAAATTATAGCTGGCAGCTTCGATAGCAGCGGGCTGCACATTATTAATCGGGCGACATGTGTTGCGCGAGCCGGCATCGATACTATGCAATTGTGCATAAATTATCGGCGCCCTGTGCCTGACAATTGCTCGGATATTGATGCGATTATCAATAATTTCCTGCGCTGAGCCGGCAGCCCGGCGGAATTGCATACGCGATATGGGACTTCACGCACAGGAGGCTCGCAGTACGTCCCATTTCGCAACGTCGCGCTCGGTTCGTTTTGCAGTATGCAAGTGTGAGATTGGATGAATGAGTTAGTACGCGTACAGGAAATCACTGAAATTCCTCTAACCCTATCCCTCGGGAAGAATTTCGCAGGCGAACAGGCAGGGGAGCGTGGGAGAAACGGTAAGAGAAATAAAAATGAAAAAATTGCACCGCTGCACACGAATGCACTCTACAGGGTCATTCACTTGAAATGGACTACACCGATAAAGCAGCATATGAATGCAATCTAGATTCATAGGCTGGGAGTGCGTCGAAATAGTAAAAGAGCAGGAGGTTAAACGTGGCGATGGGTTATCGGTTGGGGAATATATTTACACCGGATGCCGTGCACCTAATAACGTTATTGCCGTGTGTAAACTCGACTCGTACACTGGGATGCATTAAAAGCGGCTTTATACACCAAGCATAGAAATATTACGGTGCCACTCATTTCCGATGCTGTATTTAGTTTATTAGCACGGTTGGACATTTTTTAAGGCGTACTAACCCACCAACTACAGGATACAGTTTAGTGCGAATTCATTCGTCGTTTTCACCCTTCCTGCATAATTTGTTTTACGTAACGTCGACCTCCTTCTCGGCTTACAGCTTCTCCAAACCGGATGCGTCGTACACGAATAATTCATTGATTCACACGCCTGTTATTTTTCTTCTGCTCCATCACCCTCCCTGTTTTCCTCTAGACAAAATCGAAGAGCGTCTTTCGATTTGAACAAGAAAGAAATGTCCAACGGCTAAAACACGAGGAAACATCGGGACAGCCAAGTTTCCCAAACACTCGGCGATCGTTAGGCAGGAGCGCAAGTTTCTAACGAGTTTAAACAAATAGCGTATAATTTGTGGTGCGTATCGTGCGTGAGTGGCATAGTAGCAGCGTGTATACACGATCGCGGGACGTGTAAACAGCCTTATGTGAAGAAAGAGAAGGTAGAGGAGAAGGAGACTCCACTCGAAATATCAAGAGCCAGTCAGTCAGTTTCTAGAGTTACCAGGATGCATTTGAAAGGCAGAACTTGTTTGAGTCAGGTTAGGGAACCACTTGACATTGATTTATCCCTGGCTGGTAATCTCCAAGTATTTTCTAGGTCTAGACGCTCGTTAAGGCCCAGCCGAAAGATCTTGTAAAATCCCTGGGAATCCTGCTATCGGGATTTCTTTAGCAATTGGATAATATTTCCTGGTTCTACGTGTGAGGGAATCTTGGGGGTCCGACATTAGAGTGAGAGGAGTTAGGAGTCAGGTTAGAACCTAGGAGGCATACCATACATGTGCAGTATGTGCTTTGGCAAGGCTGCTCTGGTTTGAATGAGAAGAGATGCCCGGGAGAGAGGAGAGGGGGGGGGGAGAGAGAGAGAGAGAGAGAACATGAAGCAGAGAGCAAGATCATAGAGAGTGTTCCAGTGGCCCAGTGGCCCCGCGTCGGTAAAACCCCCAATCCCAATTTCCCAGACTGGCGCCGCGACGCCTCCGTCGAGCGTCTGTTTGTATATATGGACTGCCTGCATGCCTTCCCTACCGTAGCAGCTCTTCCTGTCCGAATGGCTACAAGTGCATGTCCCAAAACCCACCTTTCCTTCTGTTTTATTCCCAGTGCCGTCACTCGAGACTCTCCTGTGCAAGACAAGTGCACTCAAATGTTATCCAATACGTGTAGGACGTATAGGTACACCAGAATTCAACATATAAATTTTTTTAGTATCCTCATACGCTTTGTGATTTTTCATGAATATCACAGAATTTAATATAAAAGAGAAAGAATCGGTTTGCGCTACGAGGCAAAGATGAATTGTTCCTCTAATTGATCCTTGGTACAATCAGTATACAATGTACGTGAATGCAGTCTACCGTATTCATTTTCCAGCTACGTAATATAATGACGCTCAATAATAATTCTGATTTGTGCAATAGGCACCTATCGCATGTGCACCCGGCGCCGGCACATTCGACGCCGTCAAATCGTTTCGTGCAATACGCATCCAGTGGGTACACGCCACGCACGTGCCAATGATAGGCTCGCATTACGTGTCAGGCTTCTGTTATTACCTTGCACCTATGACTACTGCACGTCGCTCTATGTTCATCATTAAAAAATTTTTATTTAATACCCAAAATATATTGCAATTCCTACTCAGCATATACTATCCATTGAATTGATCAAATTTCCACCTTAAATTTATCCAAACCTTATCAAGGGTCTAACTACTGTAATAAATTATTATCATCGGACTATCATTCAATATATAACAATAAAGTCTATCACATAGGATTATTCTCGTGACGGTCAACCAGTGGGTGCAACAGTATAGCCAATAGCAGAATACATCGAGGACAATGATGCAGCAGGGAGCATCACACGCACGTGGTGCATTGGGGTTGAGCATATCAATGTGAGAAACCCGTTTACTGTTCAACATTGTACAGTCGTATTGCATTGCTGGTATGGCGCTCGGATGGCGTTGGTTGGCAGAGAGATAGCGATAGGGTATAGGATACATATAATTACCGGAGACCGTGCTCCATTTCACACATCACACACCGTGTGATCACGTCACACGGCCGACACCTTCGACTGCACTACGCCATACGTGTGCATACGTGAGAGTGATCTGTACTACAGGTATACGCTGACCATACACGTACCATAGATAGCCATATACATACAGTAGTCGTACACAGTAAACACATAGCCATAAACAGTTTCGTAAAATCGATCGAATTCGATCAAGTCGCATGCGTCTTTAAAGCAAGGTGTG